TGCCTGTTATTTATTTATTGGTTTTGTTTGTTTGGGGTACTTACTGATGACGGAACCCAAGGCAAGGACTCTGGCACTGAGCTGCACCCTAGCCCCGATTTCTTTTTCCTTTTTCCTTGTTTGTTTGAGACAAGATCTCATTATATAGCCCATGCTGACCCAGAACTCAACAATCCTCCTGACTCAGCCTCCCGAGGGCTGAAATTACAAGTGTGTGCCACCACACTCTGCTTGCACCTGGTGCAAGCTACTTCTTGTTATTTTTGTTGGTGGTCAACTTGACACCAGCCAGAGTCATGTGAAAAAGGCAACCTCAGTTGAGAAAAAGCCTCCATCAGATGGCTTGTAGGCAAGTCTGTGGGGCATTTTCTTGATTCATGATTGATGTGGGAGGGCTCAGCTGCCTGTGGGAGGTGCCGCCCCTCGGCAGGTGGTCCTGGGTTCTTTAAGAGAGCAAGCTGAGGGAGCTGTGAGGTGCCAGCCTGTAAGCCGTGTTGTTCTCTGGTCTCTGCTTCAGTTCCTGCCTCCAGGTTCGTGCCTTTTGACGTCCCTCAGTGAGCACTGTGACTGGGACGTGTAAGCCAAATAAACCCCTTTCTTCCACAAGCTGCTTTTAGTCATGGGGTTTAGCAGAGCAATAGAAAGCAAATTAAGGGCCAGGTGTGGTAGCTTGTACCTTTAATCCTAACACTGGAAGGCAGGGGCAGGCAGATCTCTTGAGTCTGAGGCCAGTCTGGTCTACACAGTGAGTTCCAGGACAGCCAAGGTTATGTAGTAAGTGTGTTTGTGTCAAAAAGAAAGAAAGGGGGGGGGGGGAGGGGGGGAGGGAGGAAGGAAGGAAGGAAGGAAGGAAGGAAGGAAGGAAGAAAACATACTAGGAAATTCCTCTTAGCCCGAATTTCTGTTCCTTTTTATTTCCTTCCCTTGCATCTAACTGCGCGGCACTAGCCCCTGCTTTTAGATCATTTCTTTTTTTTTTTTTTTTTTTTTTTTTCCTACAAGCTTTTAGCTCTCCCTGGAGGTCCTGCTTTAATACTTCATGAATGTTGATATGTTGTGACATTAGCATGTCTTTAGATTATTTTCCCTGTGAATTCAAATTATTTTCTCGGGAGCAGGAGAGAGGGCTCAGTCAGCAAAGCGCATGCCGTGTGAGCCTGAGGACCTGAGCTTGGACCCCAGAACCCATGCAAAAAACAAAAAACCAAAAAAAACAAACAACAACAACAAAATCCAAAAAACAAACAAAAAACGGGCATTGCAGCACCTGCGTGTAACCCTGTTACCAAGGAGGCAAACAGGCAAACAGTACTCTGGGGCTTGCTGGACAACCAGGCCAGCCTAATTGGCCCGTGAGAAACTCTGTCTTTAATAAAAGGGGTGGCTGGAGGTACGGCTCAGCAGTTAAGAGCGCATGCTCACTGCTCTTGCAAAGGACCCAGGTTCAGTTCCCAGCCCCCATGCCAGGTGGCTCACAAGCAATTACCTCACACTTCATCTCTAGGTCATACAACACCCTTTCAGGCCTCTTTGGACACCTCGTGTGTGACACACATAATTCCCAACAAAATATTTAAAATAACAAACAAACCAAAAAAAACCCGTGGGACTGGAGAGATGGCTCACAGGTAAAAGCACTGGCTGCCCTGGCAAGAGGACCCAGGTTGAGTTCCAAGCACTTACCCCATGCCTCACAACCATCTGTAACTCCAGGGAATCTAATACTCTGCTGGCTGTTATGGGCACTGCATGCACATGGGACACAGGCTTACCTGTAGCAAAACTCCAGTACACATAAAAAAAAAAAAATCATCCAGGCTTGGAGGCACATGCCTTTAGTCCTCATACTCAGGATCTCTGTGAGTTTGAGGCCAGCCTGATCTACATAACAAGTTCCAGGCCAGCCAAAAAAATAACTGAGCCTAAGAAATGACACCCAAGGTTGTCCTCTGACCTCTACATACACAGGGCACACTGAATACCTCATGTGTGTGTGTATTAGAGATTAATTTCTTGCTTACATTCTGACTTCTTTAGTCTGATTTGTCTATTTCTTCTTTTTTAAGACATTTTCATATACTTGGATTTTTACCCCTTCTTGATATCATTGATTTTCAGATCAATTTTATTCCATTGTGTTCTTTGCTTGATTTTAATTAAAATCCTTTAATTTACCAAAGCTTGTCTTCTGACCCAGACTCTGGTTCACATTGGTAGCCATGTCCTGTGCACTTAGGAAGAATACACACCCCTCAGCTGCTGAGTATGATGTTCTGTAAACACTTCATAGGTCCAGATGTTCAGCTTGCTCATGTCTTCACACTTTGTGCCCGCCCCCCATCCTTACTTCCTCCTTCCTGAACACTAAGGGCAGAACCCACAGCCTCACATGTGCTAGACAAGTGCTCTATCACCAAACCCCATTCTCTGAATCCTTCATTCAGTTTTTTTCCTGTTTGTGTGTGTGTGTGTGTGTGTGTGTGTGTGTGTGTGTGTGTGCGCACACGTGTGTGTGTGTGCACACATGCTGTGGTGCACAAGTGGAGAGGCCGTTCTTTCCATCCACCACATGAGCCCCAGGAACTGAACTCCAATCACCAGCCTTGTAGGCAGGCACCTTTACCCATCGAGCCATCCCACAACATCCACCATTCAGTTTTTTAAATTTATTTATTCTTATTTTACGTGCAATGGTGTTTTGCTTGCACGTATGTCTGTGTGAGGAGGTCAGATCCCCTGCAACTGGAGTTACAGACAGTTGTGAGCCGTCATGTGGGTGCTGAGAACTGAACCCAGGTCCTCTGGAAGAGCAGCCAGTGCTCTGAACTGCTCAGCCATCTCTCCAGCCTTGCACCATTCAGTTTTTAATAACTCCTTCTGCTTGTATATCATTCAGCGTGTGTGAAATCATTCAGTGATGAGTGATTGTGGACTTGCAGAGGTGGCCTTGGGCGAGATTCCCTGCCAGTTTTCATGTCACAGAGGTGTGGCAGTGCTGACTGGTACAGATGGTCACCAGGAGAAACTGAGATCCAATTGGACACACACATCAGTTCTGTCCGTGTTAATTGAAGGACACTCTTCAGTCACCTCAGTGACACACATCAACTTACCTCCTTTTCTTGCTGATGAAGGACAGGCGGGCTGCATCTCTGCAGCAATGCTCTGGTCCGCCTCCTGGGTCATTCCCAGATACACAGTCTGATCTCCCCAGCTCACTGAGTTGCTCTCCCTGTGTCCACAACAGTCTGCGTCTCAGCCATGGATGAGTGACTTCTGTGTTCTGACTTCCATTTTCTCTCCCTGACATTTCCTGCCATGGCGAACCCCGGCGTGTGTGGGTCTAGGCAGGTTCCCGTGGTTCAGTGTGAATGTCAACCACAAGTTCTGGGCAGCCTGCTGAACCTCTGGAGTCCCTGGAAATTGCTGTCATTTCTGCAAAAGTGAATGTTTGGATAATTCATCTGTGTGTCCTGGTGATGCGGACACCCTGGAGTCCTTGTCCGGGCATTGTTAGCATTGTTTTAAGCTGGGACTTTTTGTGTGCCTCCCACATGTGACGGCTGTAATCACTTTCTTTTGCTGTGGGAATGATCGGGAAATTGTGCCGAGACACAGGAAGGTGACAGGGCCACGCAGGGCTGGGCTGGGATTCTACAATTACCATTTGTGAAGAGAAACTGTTATCAAAGGACCCGCAGGAGACCATCTTGGGGCACCTCTCCAAGTCAGGAAATTTGAAACATATATTTCACAGACATGCATTTCCCTGTAAACCCCGCTGCATAATGCATGAGGCTTGATTTAATGTCATTGTTAATTCGGGGCTCACAATGGCAGGCTCTTAAGGGAGCCATCATTTTTCTTTCTTTCTTTCTTTCTCCCTGGCAGCAGAACTCTGAGACCCTTCGGGGTTATTCAGCATTCTGTGAGCACAGACATCATGGAGGGGTGTGTGGTGTGTGTGTGTGTGTGTGTGTGTGTGTGTGTGTGTGTGTGTGTGTGCGCGCGCGTGCAGATGCATGGTGGCCTTTCCAGAGGCTGTGGCAGGGGACACGGGGGGTGGGGGGGCTGGCTGCCTCGGGTTCCATACTGAGCCTTGCTGAGAAGCCCATTTTGTTTGACTTTTGGGGGTCAGAGAGGAAGGTTGTTAGAAAGAAGAAAGGAAGGAGGGAGGGGGAGGAGGGAGGGGAGGGAAACAGAGAGGAAGAAAGAAAAGAGAGAAAGAAAGAACGAATAATAGGGAAGAGAGAAAGGAATAAAGAGAGGAGAGAAAGAAAAAATAAAGAGGAAGAAGGAAAGAAAGAGGAAGGAAAACAAAAAGGAAAGAAAGAAATGAAGAAACCAAAGTGAAAGTAACAAAGAGGAAAAGAAAGGCTTTGTAGGATAACAGGAAGAGAGAGAGACAGACAGACAGACAGACACACACACACACACAGAGAGAGAGAGAGAGAGAGAGAGAGAGAGAGAGAGAGAGAGAGAGAGAGAGAGAGAGAAACAAACAAACCACAATTTCATGAAGCCCAGGAGAATCCCATGGCCTCAGGGACCGGGAACGACCGAGCAGTGGAAAGAGCAGAAAACACGTGACAGAGCATGGTGGGCGGGTAGTGGGGCCGCTGACACGTGTGACTGGAGCTTGGCCAGGGGCGAGAGGAGGGGGGGTGTGGAGAAGAGAACCCAGTAGACACTAAAGCCAAAGGCACCAAGGGCTCCTCTCAACACCGGGGTCGGGCCGGGGCTTCGGAGTCCCCCCTGAGCTCAGAGGCAGTGCAGACCAGGCCGGAGCCCCCAGCTGCAGGCAGGGCATTCGTTTGCTGAAGGATACTTCAGCTGAGGGCCACGTCAGGCTGCCAGCAGAGGCGTGACAGCGCTAACCAGTGGAGATGGACACCAGGAAGACAACTCTATTTTCATCTCAATTATCTATCAGCGTCCAACCTTTTTGTGGTGTGACAAGATAGCGTCTACAAGCTCACCCTCCAGAACTGCACGGTTGCGTTACCCACCCCACTCTCCAGTCACTAACAACTCTCGTGTCTTAAGCAACTTTGCCATTTGGGGCTGTGCTGTGTCCATCGCTATCTCCGAGATTTCCAGATGACCGTAGCTTGTGTCAAGTTGACAAGAAACTAACCAGTCTAGCTGTGTCCAAACCTATCCAGGCTTCTGCTCTGTGGCTTTCACGAAGAAGTGAGGCTGAGGGAGGCTCTGGGCTTGCCCTTCCCATCTGGGTGGTAGGTGCTTACACCATGTGCACCCTTCCTGGAAAGTCTAGCTCTGGGGTGGCTTGAGCTAGAATTGTAGCCCCACCCCCGGGCACTGTCATCCTCAGTATGTTTGGTCTCTTCTGCATGATTCCTGTCTGGGCATAGAGCAATGAGGACAGCTGAACACTCTCCCGAATGTGGATGTTTGTTTATTTGATTCTGCCACCGAACAGTCAGGCTGACATTTATTTGCTAGTTGTTTCGAAATTGCTCGGCATGTCTAACCCCAGGTCTAGCCCTTCAGTGCATCCTCTGGCAACTGATTGGTCCAGGGCGGGCACGTGACCCAAGCTTGTCCAATCTAAATAACTTACGGAACTTTTTGCTGGTAGCCTTGCCGCACTGTATTTGGTGATGTACAGGGTCCATTCTACAGCTCTGAGGGGACAATCTGTCTGAGGCCACAGATCTGGAACTCTCCGGCAGGTTGGCTGCCCAACGTCAGTTCCACTCCTGTGCGGAGTGCCTACCATGTTCCTCTTTCCACTGTGGCCCACAGGCTTGGCTGCGGACACCTTTCTCCATAGGGACCAGTCCTTCTCCACAGGGACTTGAGCATTGCTCTCCATGATCTTGAAGACCATACTAACCTTGAACAGCTCTTCTGTCCAAGGCAACATGTGCCCCCATGCCACCTGCTGGAGGATAGAAGTAATTGGCCAGACAGCTAAGTCTCCCCGATGCTAGCCAGCCCACCCAGGGCATGTTATGGTCCCCCAAGGACCCTTGAACTGTCAGGTAACCATGGATTGTGGCCACCCTACAGCTGTGTGAGTCACTAGGTCAGATGGCCTGTCACATAGGCCCTGCTCCAGGCCCCTTGCTCACAAATTTGCACTTCCCTTAAGTCACATTGGGTTATGGTTCAAGACAGTCATCCTCACACTTGTGTTTCATTTCAGCCACAGCCCAGAACCGTGATGGACCCAACAATCAGAAGCACAAGATTCCCACTAAAAAGTTCTGGGTTCATTTAATTCCTGTGTCTTCTTACAGACCATAAGTTTATAAGACAAACGGGGCCACAGATACATAGATTGCAAGGGGGCACCTCCATCTTGAGGTGTCTCCAGCCAGTCAGGGGATGCGGAAGCGCGGTAAGTATGGTGAGGCCTGGGGAGTGCCTGTCTTCGTGAATCCTTTGGTGACAGGGCCAGCCTGTTCCATTTCCACAGTGTTCTGCCTGTGCTCCCCGGGGGCCTCTTGCGTGCTGAACACTTTGTCGTAGTACTCAATCAGCAGCTCCGTGAACAGGTTCAGAGGCACCAGGGCGCTCAGGGAAGCCACCCCCTGAGACGGCCAGATCAAGTTCAGCCCGAACACACATGCCAGGTTTGAGCTGGTCATCTTGTTTGAAATGCTCTCCAGAGACACCTGGAAGAGGCCGCACCAGAAACCAAGAAATGAATCCCCAGGCATCAGCAGCCTGGATTCTGTCCTCACCCCAGAGGAGACTGGTATGGTAGAGAGAGCTCATGATGATTCCATCCTCACCCCCGAGGGGCTAATGTGGTGGAAAGAGCTCTGGAGGGGGAGGGAGTGGGCTGGGGAGATGGCTCAATTCATCTCACCAAGCACTTGCCACGCTAGCTAGCCAAAGTTTGGTCCCCAGAATAATCCAGTGCACACTTGTAATCCCAGCACCGGGGAGGCAGGGACAGGTGGATCCCGGGGCTCACTGGCCAGCCAGCCTAGCCGACTTGGCAAGATCCAGGCCAGTGAAAGACCCCAATCTCAAAAAACAAAATGGAGCCAGTGAGATGGCTCAGTGGCTAACAATAACTTCTGCAGAGCCTGGCAGTCTGAGTTCAGGCCCTGGGACCCACGTGGTGCTCCGAGAGAACCTCTTCCCTGCAAGCTGTCTTCTCATCTCCACACATGCATGCTGTAGCATGCGTACACATTTGTGTGCCAGCACGCACACGTGTGTGTGCGCGCACACACACACATAAATAAATAATAAACAAACAAAAGAGTTCTGGAATGGAGGCCACAGCCAATGACAAAATTCTACATGGCCACTTCCCCCACTTAAGGGAGGCCTCAGTTTCTCAGTTTTTCCGTCTGTGAAAGGTTCTGGTCTTGACGCTGTGGAGACCCTCTGAACCTCCACAGTCTGACTTCCAGGATCTCATGAGTGCCCCATCAACTCCCCTTCCACTTTGGCAGACTTGGGGGAGGGGTGGGCACCCAGCACTGCAAATCTAAGCCGGGTGCCCTCTGGCTTCTGTGATATGATTGGTGAATTGAGCTCAGGCTTGTGGGTATGGTGGCGAGAGCCAAGTGCTTTCTACCTTGTAGGGGCTCCCGTCCTCCTGGCTGACATGGCCACCTGGATAAGTAGGATTCAGTATTCCCCATTTTACAGATGAGAAAACTGAGCCCAGAGGGCACAACACAACGAAGACCAGTCCACACCAGTGCCTGAGGAGGAAGCCTAAGAAATTCGTTCCCCGCTGAGAGGGTCTGAGCGAGGATGCGCTTGGTGAGAAGTAACCAGGCAACAGCTAGAGAGACAGAACTGCTTGTGGTGAATGTGGGGGTAGGGTAGAGGGCAGCTGGGGAGGTGGTTCAGCAGCTAAAGTACTTGCCACAGGACCTGAGTTCAATTCCCAGCACCCACAAAAAAAATGTAGCAGCACATGCCTCTACTCCAGGCACTGGGGTACGGGAATATAAAGACAGGCAGATCCCTGGAGCTCACTGGCCAGCCAATAATGGCTGACTGAACAATTTAGCTCTAGATAAGAGTGACTGAGGAAGACCTCTAACATTGATATTTGTCCTCCACACATCCATTCACATATATTCATGCATGCACACACGCATGAACATATACATGAATATATACCATACACACAAAGCCAAGAATGTGACATCGTATGATAAACTGTCCACTCTGCCCCTCCTGGCTCCCATCCCTGGACATTGCATCAGACTGTCAAGTTTCTCAGAGGAGTCTGGCTGGACCTTGAGTGACATCCTTTGGTGGTTCAAGAGTGGAATGGGTGTGACTTTGGACCTGGGGCAAACAGCACGGGTCTGGGATGACAAGAGGCCCCCAGGGCCAGTCTTGGGGCTGGGCTTCCTCATCCTGGGATGCAGCTAGCCCCACTTACCTCATGCAGGAAACCCATGAGGTAGCGGAGGACGGTGTAGTTGTGCTCCGGGAGGCTCCGCAGGATCAGGCGGCAGTGGGTCACACGCAGGCTGCTCTCCACACCTGCAATGGCATGAGGCTGCTAGCCTGGGCAGCACCCCACTACTCCTGCCAGGCTCCTTCCTCCTCTGTGTGGTGGCTACAGAAACTACTGCCCGCTGGGAAGCAGGGCAGTGAGTCACTCTGCAAACAGAAAAAGGCTAGACCAGGGCCAGCCATTTAAACACAGACCGCCATCCACATCTGGCCCAGCACATTTCTTTGTTAATAAAGGTTTCATTTGTTCTACCTCCAAAGCGTTGGCGTTAGAGGCATGTACCACCATGCCAGCGATCAGTAGTAATATTTTACTTGAACTCAACCGTGGTTGTGTGTAGACACACGGCCTAGGGCTGCTTGTGGGTTACAACGATGGAGCCGGCAGCTGCCATGGAGACTGTGTGGCTGGGGAAGGTAAAGCATTGACTCTGACCTCGCCAGGATAAATGCACCTGCCTCTGGTTTTCAGTACACAGATCACCAGGCTGTGTTGTTCTCGGGGAAAGCCCTGCATTCACACATAGACAGACCCTCAGTCCCCGCCGTTGCCCTCCATTTGAGTTTTGTTTTGAGACTAGGTCTCACACGTCCCAGGCTGGCCTCAAACTTGCTCTGTAGCCGAGGATGCCCTTGAACTCCTGGTCCTCCTGCCTCCACTTCCCAAGTGCTGGGATTATAGGTGTGTGCCACTGTTTCTGGTTTATGTAGTGCTAGGGATGGAGCCCCGGCACTCTGCTAACCAATCTACATCCTCAGACCCTCCACCCACAGACGTGTTCACAACCCTGTTCCTGAGCCCCCAGCCTCTGGCACACTACTGTCCCTCTGCTAAGCCTGTGTGGTGACCAGGGGACCCTGGAACTGTACGAAGGCTCCTGCTGGGACCCAGGATCCCCATCTATGAAAAGCTTGAGGGCGTTCTAATAAAGGTCATTGTCTTGGGGAACCAAGCTGTGGTTGCTTAGTAATCTCGGTGGACAAGAAGTTTCCTTGCGATTCACCTTTCCAGGGAAACCAGTGGCCACCAGCTCCGGGCTGCGGATGACCCAGTCTCAAGCCTCCTCTTCAGAGAATGATGGTCACAGAGATGACATGGGAGGGAAGCAGGCCACCTTGGCTATCACGGTGGTCCCTCTTTTTTTTTTTTTTTCCTTCTGGTTTTACGAGACAGGGTTTCTCTGTGTAGTTTTGGTGCCTGGCCTGGATCTCACTCTATAGACCAGGCTGGCCACGAACTCACAGAGATCCGCCTAGCTCTGCCTCCAGTGCTGGGATTAAAGGCGTGCGCCACCACCACTCAGCTATGGTGGTCCTTCTTATCCCTTCCCGAGGAAGCAGACAGAGCAGCAGCAGAATGTCACAACAGTGACTCTGTGACAGCCGACAGTTGAGCATATTCTTACTTATTTTTGAGCCAAGGATGACCTTGAGGTCCTGATCCTCCTGCCTCTGTCTTCCAAGTGCAGGAGTTACATCTACACAGCACCATTTTATTTGGTGCTGGGGATGGGATCCGGGGCTTCCTGCATGCTAGGAGAATGCTCTATTCACCGAGCTGGATCCCCAGCCCTTTATATCCTCAGAAGAGCCCTCATGAATACAGATGAGGGAAGGGAGCACAGAGAGGCTGCATGACTTGCCCCAGGTCACATGACTGGTGACTGGAGAAACAGGGATCCGAGACACAGCTCTGGACCAGGGCGATGACTCCTGACTCCTGGGTCACCAGCAGTGTACTCCTTGTCTCTGGAGACTACAGCCTTCAGGAAGCTTCCACAGGGCTCCCAGGAAGGGCCTGCATACTTCACTTGAAGGAGAAATGTAGCCACCTGGGTAGGGCCACCAGGCAAGCTAGGGTCACCCTCCCCAAACCCAAGGATAATATGGCCTGTTTGATGCCTCCAGCCTCACTGAATAGAGGGGTGGCCCCAAGTTCTCCTCTGGGCTGGACAGTAATGGGCCAAGGTTGGGGGGAAACTGCCTCAGCTGAGACAGAGGCTGACCTGGGTCATTAGCCAGGGTTGCCCTGAGGCCAGGGTTCGCGAGGGTACATACTGGTGATCCCGAGAATCTGCTCGTAGGCTTGGAAGGTCAGCAGCGGCTGGGGCAGCTCACGCAGAAAGGTCTTCAGGATCACGGCTGGGACATGCATGTCTCCGTAGTCATCAAAGTTCACCGGCTTCCCTGAACACAGGACGGCACAGCCGAGCAGTTCACTCAGCCCATGGCTTGGGAGCTCGAGGGGGAGGTGTAGGTCACAGCCATATGTCCCAGGGATGCCTCTTGGATATGGGGGTGCTGTTCCCCACCAGCTTCCTCTTACTGCTACCGCCTCCCTCTTCTAGGGTGCCCACGGAGCCGCTAATTGCTTCCCTCGAGGTAAGGTTTGGTTCTGGATGGAAGCTTGAGCTCCAAGGTCAGGGCCTTGGCTCTGGGGCTGCACACACAGGGCCAGGCTAAGGTCTAAATGTCCAGCTCGCGACTGTGTGGGCCTAGTGTTTGATGAGTGAATCTGCAATCACAGGAACATGGAGGCCTCAAGCAAGACTAGAGGGCGAGTGTTCCTGGGAGCAAGAGAATTATTTGCTTAGTGTTATTTTTGAGGTACCCCCAGCTCAGAGTCCAGTTTTCTTTTTCTTTTTCTTTTTTTTTTTTTTTTTTTTTTGGTTTTTCGAGACAGGGTTTCTCTGTGTAGCTTTGCGCCTCTCCTGGAACTCACTTGGTAGCCCAGGCTGGCCTCGAACTCACAGAGATCCGCCTGGCTCTGCCTCCCGAGTGCTGGGATTAAAGGCGTGCGCCACCACCGCCCGGCTCAGAGTCCAGTTTTCTGCTTGCAGAGTCGGGGCTGCCTATGGAACGCTATAACATGATTTCCCTACCTTGAAGTGTTAGTTCAAACCGTGTGGCCACCTGGTGTCAGTGGGGAAGGCGCAGAGGCACTGAGGGCTGGGGCAGCGCCTTACCTAGCTGGCTGGAGTCTGGACACAGGACTCCCTTGCTCTACAATGGGATGGTGGTTGGCATTCCCAGGCAGCAGCCCACCCAGACCTGTTTCTGGGGTCAGGTGGGGTATGGAGTTACCGAGGACTAAGGGGTGGCAGTTGAGAATCTGGCAGGAGGGAGGGGTCTGGGGCATCACCTTGGTCATACAGCCGCTGCACCTGGTGGACTATCTGGGCGCTGGCCGATCTCCGGAACAGGCCCTCCGTGTGTAGCCCTGCAGGAAGAAAAGACTGGACATCTCAGATCCCAGAACTCTGGCCTTCTGGAGATTCTGTGACTCCCCTGTCTGCAGTATCAACCTCCTGCGGTGACAGATCAGGCTTTTCCAGTCACGTGATGTCCCACCTCCAGATCCTCCCTCCCTAAGAGAGGGGAGTGCAGAAACGCACAGGCCTGAGCCCCAGTTGCCTCTGCCTCCAAGCCGCTATGTGATCCTGAAGAGAATGCTCAGCCTTTCTTCTTCTATCTAACATCATCAGTTGGCTGCCCGCCTGCCAGGCCCCTGCTGCTAGCTTCACAACCAGGAGAGAAAGTCAGGCCTGAGCCTGCTCTCTGTGGGGAACAGCACCCTAGGATACATGAGAACACTGGGCAGCAGCCTGGAGGCTGAAGTCCTTCTGGTCTCTCCTGCCTCTCCTTCCTAGCTTCCCCACAGACCCACAGTCATGCACACACACCCAAGGTGGCCACTGTGCCTGCACATCACATGCTTGCTCAGGTCACAGCTCCGGCAGCCGCTGGCTTGTGGGGTGTTCAGGATCTGACATGCAGCCCCGTTGGAAAGGCGCTGTTGAGTGTCCCGGCCAGAGCTAGCTCCTTACCTTTCTCCCTCAGGTACGTCACTGTCCACCTCAGCACAGGGGGGATGAGTTCACCTTGGTTTTTGTCTTTGAGGCTGAGGGAGAAGAAAGTACTGGCTTATTCCAGACCCTGAGGGTGGGCACAGCCAGGGGAAGGCTCTCAGATTCCCCATTCCAGGGGATAGAACATCAAGAAGTGTCCAGGGAAAGACACAGCCTCAGGCCCCATGAAGCAGCCACGAGAGTCCAAACATTTGGAAGGACAACAAAGTGCCGGAACTCCACCCAGAATATACTTTGGGGAACGCTGGGGTGGAGGGGCTGGAGGTTTCTTCAGGGGGCTACTTTAAGGCAGAGGTTTTGAGGGATGAATAGGAGCTTGCCAGAGGACAAAAGAGAAAAAAAGCAGTACAGACAAGAAGACACACAGAGGTGCGAGGAAGTCTGACTGTGAGCATGGATCCGGGAGACCAGACCAGGTGCTCATCCAGTTTTAAAAAGTACTTGCTGGGAATGGTGTCACACGCCTTTAATCCTGGCACTCAGGAGGCGGAGGCAGGCAGATGGATCCTGGACTACAATAGTGAGTTCCAGGACAGCCAAGACTACAGAGAGACCCTGTCTCAAACAATAACAACAACAACAACAAAAGTACGTGATAAAAACATGGGGCTTGAGACACAGTAACAACAGATATTCAGAAGGACTCGGTACAGATTCTGAGTCCTCGGCATCTAGCGCTGACTGGGGACCGCAGTGGCAGGAGCTACGGTGTCTCAGGACAAGTGTCTCTGTGTCACCTGCACCTGCAGGACAGTTGCCTCTCTGTGCACTGGCCGTGGGCTGGCCCACACAACCTGCTGTGGGATGTACGACACAATACACACACACATTTTGTAAGGCCTCCTGACCAGGCTACACTTGCTCCAGCCCCCACCAGGAGGACAGATGTCCTGGGTGGAGGCCACTCCTCTGGCCCGATGTCAAAAATGACAAGATACATAAAGTGAGTTGAACCCCAGTTGCTCCGCACACTTCATAGAACCCAGGAAAGAATTCCCACTGCTGTAACATGCTGAGAGTTGAGGCTACTTGTTACATGGCGTCATCAGGAGCTGACTGAGACACTGAAAAAAAAAAAGGCCTGCTCCTGTAACATGCTGAGACAAAAGACCGCTTGTTACACAGCATTACCAGTGACAGCTGACTGAGACACACTTGCTGCTTATGAGGCTAGGCCCAGAACTAAGGGAAGGGACCTCGGGGTCTCCTAAGGAGGAAGATGGATTAGGATACAGAGAACAGGTGTAAATACAGAAAGCATCCATTCTGTTTTATGAATTTTCTTTTAGGCTGACTGGGGAAACTGAGGCACAGATTGGCTACATGGCTTGCTCGATTGAGTGCAGAGCAGAGATTTGAACCCAGGTAGGCTCCAGAATCTCACCTCTTCAACACTCCGTTCATTCTGTCATGGTGTCAAGGTCACTATGGACACATGAGCTGGACATCAGCTCAGTAACAGTCCATTTAGAGTGTAAATCCAGACAGAAGCAGAGAACAGAGAGGTGGAGAGTGCGCGGCGGCCCTGGGTCGGCCAGCCAAACCCAGGCCTGACCTCGCTGAGCCTCTGTTTCCCCTTCTGTTAGTGAGTGTGATGTGAAGCCTGTCACCTGGGCTGACTGTGGGATTATCAGGGTGACACATGAGGAAACATCCTGTCACTATGCCAACAGTCAGCAAATCTGCTCTGTTCCCAGGTGGGCGGTCCTTAGAGATTAAGGATGCGCCTTAAACACCTGGCTCAGTTCAACTGTTACGCCCCACATCAAATCAGCGATGGCCTCCGCACACCCTGACTCTGCATGGTTTGGCTTCACGGAAATCCTTCTCTCTGCTAAAGCTGCACATGTAGGACCCTGGACAGTCGCCAAGTAGCCATGAGACTGGCCCTGCCTCCAGAGAGACCCAGGAATGGATGGGCCCTTCCCAGTCTGTTCCATAACAGCTTCCTCTTTATCAACTGTCAGAGAGGAGGTGATGTCCCAGGGGGTGAGGGAGGATGGGGAAGGGCAGCAGGTGTGTAACACTGCTTCCTAGGAAGCCAGGGCCCATGCTAGCCCTTTCCAGAACTATGCTACTGCCAGCCAGATCCTTAGCCTCCTGGGCCTCAGGCTCCCTGGTTCTGGAAGGTAAGGGTTCAGGCAGCACCTCTCCAGGGCCTGAGGGATGTAGGGGTGTTGTCCTGCATCTGGACACTAAATTCTACTCTGAGGAGCAGGTGGAGGATGTAAGGTGTGTACGTGTGTGTGGAGGGGAAGGAGCCTCACACATCCTACTTTGTGTGAAGCCGTCAGGGAAGGCTTCCTGGAGGAGGGGATAGTGAAGGGCGCATATTCTGCATGCTCTGTGGCAAGGCCCCTGGTCACAAAGTTCTTGGACCGGGTTAGTGAGGAGAGCAGTGGTTCATCTCTAGACCTGTCCTCTTTTCCAGACTCACAGCTGCCCAGAGGAGACTCGCATCTCTATCCTCCCTCTTCGGGAATGGCAAGCAAGGCTTTATATTTCTGCAGTGCTGGGGACTGAACCCAGGGCTTTGCCCGTGCTAGGCAAGCTCCTCTGAGCCCTGGCCCAGCCCAAGTGAGACCTCTGACTCCCCGACTTTGCCTTCCTCTATTGGCTTAAGCGGCCCGTTCCAAGTGATGACTTTCTGTTGTGAACTTAAATCAGCAAATTAACATTGGCGAGTAGGCTTTAGTTATGAATTTTAATGTCTTCCACTCGCTCGCAGTCCAAACAAATTAGATATCTGGTGCTTTATTTAATACGTTTATTGCCATTTTATTATAGTCATTGGCAATGAGACAACATAAAATATTAATTTAAAGGAGCAATCACACAGATTATCTCTTAAAGTGGCGTGCCCGGAATGTATTCAAAGGCGTCTGACAATGCTTGCTGTTCCCTAAAGAGATAATGAAGTGGATTTTTCTGTGTGGTGCTGGAGTGGATCGCAGTGGTAATGTGTACCAGGCGAGCGCTCCACCACCAAGCTGCACCCCAGCTCTGTCCGTTTGTCTGATGTCCCCATTGTCAAGAGCAGCAACGGGAGTCACTAGCAACGTGACAGTCCCAGCAGCTTCCTGTCCACTGACAACTCTGTGTCAACATATCCTGCAAGTGCTCAGGTCACAAGAGTGTCCCCGATAAAGGTGTCCTCAGTGGCCTGGTTGTGTAGCTGTTTGCTTCAGAATGAAACACCCCCTCCTGGAGAGGGGAGGAAGGAGGAAGGTTCACAGAGCTCACGGCATTCACCAGAAACTTACAACATGCATACGGCTTGTATAAGGTTATATAAACAGTGAACCGCTGCTGGGAAGGGGACACTCTTGGAGCTTTCTACAGATCCCACAGGGAGCTCCAGGGATGCAGAGTTCCTGGGCCATCACCCATGCTGGGTGTGGGGCTTCTCAGTGATGCAGGTTCCTGAGTCACCTATGCCCCCATGAGTGACCCCAGCAACGCAATGGTCTGCAGACTAGACTTGGACAGAGCCCCCTCTTTAGTCTGTCAATCTCTCCCACCTGAGGTGAACAAAAATGGCCTTCTCCAGAGCTGGAGAGACAGCTCGGCAGTTACGAGCACTGTCTGCTCTTCTACAGGACCCGGGTTTGATTCCCATCACCTGCCTGGCATCTTACAACCATCTGTAACCCTGGTCCCAGGGCATCTGACGCTCTCTTCTGGTCTCCGTGGGAACCAGGCATATACATGGTATACAGACACATGCATACAGGCAAAACACCCCCCCCACACACACACACAACAGAACAAAGACCAAGTCTCCCCCCCAAGAAGCCAGTCACACAGTAGAGCTGAGAGGCCGCTGACAGCAGACAGCAGTTTCAGGTGAGTTTTGTACAAACCGGTACGTTACACCTGTTTTTCATTTTCAAGTGGTTGTGTGTGTATGGGTGTGCTTGTGAGTGCCAGGTGCGACTAAGGACAACCTGGGGTGCCATGCTTCACTGTGCACGCTGATTAGGTTAGGCCCGCTGCCCAGTGAACTCCGGGTATGTCTCTGCCTCCACAGTGATGGGATCACAGGCACACCACACAGCACACCACAATGTATGGTGAAAGACAGTGGGCCCTGGAAATGTGGCAAGGGTTCGTGGCCTCATTTTTGTTTTTGTTTTTTTAGATGAGAAGACAGGGGTGGATCTGCAGGGTGTAACAGGCGGTTGTACAGCATGGCTGGAGCCTCTGCACCAAGGAACTCTGAGTGGCAGAGCCACTAGGGACATCAGCAGGGCTCAGAAACATTGTGAAACTGTCACTTGATGGTCTGGGTCTCTTGACCAGCGACCTCTAGAGGTGCTTGTGGTTACTGCAGGCACCTGCCCTGACTTAGGGGTGGCCACCAGGGGAATCTACTATGTGTGGACCACCAGGGAGTCACAGCAGCATGCTTCCAGGATCCATGAAAAGGAAAGCACTCTGGTGGCAAGTTTGTGCTCCAGTTTGGGGGCCAATCATATCACCACACACTGAATTTTCTCTCTGAGAACGTGTGTCTGGGTGGGAAGGCACCGTGGGGTCCAGTAGGAGCAGTCACAGGTGCTATTCAAGTTGTTTAAACAGGAAGTAGCCACACGCTCACTCAACCTGGAGTGGGTCCAGCAGACCGTGCCTGTCACAGCAGAAAGCCCCATGGGACGGTGCTGGTCCAGGGGCACACGTATAGGGAGTAACAGTCCTCTTTGTGATATCCCAAGATGCTCCCGTCCTCCCCTGCAGGCTCATCCTGCTCCAGCCACTCAGATCACCAGACACACCCCTGCCTCGCTCAGGCAACACTGCTTTGTCACGCCTTCCTTGCTGACAGGGACAGAACCACGTGACAGCCTCCCACCACTTCCCGTTGCTTCCCGGTGGCTGTGATGACTAATTAACTTGACACAACATTCTGAACTGCTTTACGGTTCAAGGCTAGAACAGGTGTGGGGCTGGTACCTGCAGGCTCCAGGGACATACCCTTCGCTTTTCCAGCTTCACAGCCTCTTCCTTGTAGAACCCTGCGGGCTGCCCTCGGCTCGCCAAGGTGGCCCAGCCAGTCCCCATCTCAAGTCTCTATTCACCTCCGCAAAGTCCTTCTCAGAAGGCAGGTGAAGCCACAGTTCTGGGGGTTAGGATGTGACGGGCACTGGGCATGCTTTGCCTTCCACACATGCCCTCTGCGTCACAGGCCATGAGAGCTTGCGGATGGGTCTTATCCCAGAGGACATATACGAGGACATGAGGAACCCTGCCCCGGTGATTCAGGGAGGACAAGGACAAGCCTGAACCCCACCAGACGTCCCTTCAACTCTTCCCAAGTCCACATGGACCTTAGAGACGGCCGGTTTTAAGTGAAGAACGTAAGCTCATGAGCGTTTCTAATACCAAGCGATCGACTCAAGTGGGACCCACAACAGGTCTCGGGTACCTGCCGCACAGCAGGCCCGGCTCTTCCTGTGCTCACTGTGGGTGATCTGACTGTTTCAGCTGCTCTAGGAAAACACATTGCCTTGGGGGGCTGGAGAGACGGCTCAGTGGTTAAGAGCACTGGCTGCTCTTCCAAGGGACCTGGGTTCAATTCCCAGCACCCGCATGGCAGTCCACAACTGTCTATAGACACACATGCAAGCAAACCTCAATGTAAAATAAATAAATAAATAGATAAATAAATAAATAAGTAGATCTTTTAAAAATTACCTTGGATTTTCATTGGCCAGGTCTCTTACCAGGACAGGAGACCCAAAGAGGGACAAACTCACAACCCAGAGGGTGAGGCATGTAGGAACCTGGATTAGGGCTGGGCTGGGGATGCCTGTGTGATTGGGCACCAGGGAAGGCTTCTGGAGGAGAGGCCCCAGATGAGTGGGAATGAAGTTGGCTTGGTAAACAGGTAGGGGGAGATGGCAGATCCACTGAAGGTCAAAGTCTCATGAGCACATCTCACTTGGAAGGTGAGAGGAGAGGTCCTAGCCAGAGGCCTGAAGGGCAGGGAGCCAGAATTGAAAGGTGACCAGAAAGCTCTTGTCTCCTGCCTACACACACACACACACACACACACACACACACACACACACACACACACGCAGCTGTGGGCACTCAGCCTCAGTGGGGACTTGACACTATGCCTCCTGTAGAGTTAAGCTTGGCCACTGCAGTCCCAGGACACAGAGGGGTCCCAGTGCTCAAGGTAGCAGACCAGCCTCCACCCTCCATCACTTACTATTGCAGGCTGACGCCAAACTGCTGGGTGGGCAGAGGTGGTCGAGGTGGCGGAGTCTTGGTGGGAGGGGGCAGCTGGCCCTTGTGAAGGTTTTGCAGCTTCTCGTCATACCTGCAGACACAACAGGAGAGTGTCACCTCACGGGGGACAGCCTTTTGGCCATGGAAACCATCTCCAAGTGCTATATGAGGACCAGGCTTCTATGGACATTAATGGGAAACGCACATATCCTATGCCTTCTGTCTAAATTTCAGACATCCTGGGCAGGGTGCTGCACTCTCGGGAGCGAGGGGCTCAGAGTAGCCACTGGAGCTGGCATGCCTGGCCCAGGCCTGAAGCCAGGGCTGTTCTACAGTTGAGACCCTGTGCTCTGGCTTGCCACAGACGCTCAGTGAGACATTCAGCAGGAACTGAATGAAACTCCACTAGCTGTCTTCCAGAGCCCCTGCGCCTGCCACTCCTGGATCATTTCATTCCACACACGGCTCATCTGCACACCAGGGAACCCCTTTCATATCCGGCTCAGAAGCAGAACGGCAAACCTGTGCCTCGATGTGTTTTTAATCAGTTTTGCACCGGCCGTGGGAAGAGGAGCCTCCCACCCGCATGCAGCCCTCGTGGCTTGTTCTCCTGCGCATGTCAGTGGATATTAGGCACGGCTCTGGGGACGGTGGGCACTCACCGTACTACTTCTGGGGGGATGAGCAGCTGGTCGCACTGGAGGTGTTCCCGGAGCTCATGCAGGCTGCTGCAGTAGGTGACTTTTTTCCCAAACTTGTGACTAAGGAAGGGAAAACAAGAGAATAAAACAATGAGGTGAAGGCTGAATAAAATAGTGGGCCTGAGGGAGTTGAGGTGCCGCACATAAGACAGGGCATGGACTGAGACCCGGAATGGGCTGGGCACTGGAGGCTCACCTGTATAAAATAATCAGGGGTCTTCAGTTTGAACTGACTGTGACTTTACACAGAGCAGCCAGCATGAGAGCCCCTCTCTGTGTGGAGTGGAGTACCTGTCTTAGTGTCTTTTTCCTGTCGCTGTGATAAAATACTCAGACAAAAGCAACCGAAGGGAAGGTTCATGTTAGCTCAGAGTTCAAGGTCCAGTCCATCATGGCAGTGGCGTCCACGCAGCAGGAGCTCGAGGCAGCTGCTCAAGTTATGTCTGGGCCAGAAGAGAATGCATGCATGCATGCATGCTACTGCCCAGTCCCCCCTCTCTCTTTATACAACCCAGGATCCCCTGCCCAGGGAATGGTCCCACCCATGGGGTGCAGGGCTTCCCACCTCATTTAATAAGATAATCCCTCACAGGCATGCCCAGAGGCCCTTCTCCATGTGAGTCTACATCCTGCCTTATGTATGTTGACCTTAATGATGACCATAACTGTGTTTGGGGCTCAGAGGACCAGTGGACTGAGCTTGTCTGCCTGGAGACACCATGGTCCCAGGTGAATGGTGGCTGTGTGTTGCACCTTCTTCCCCTTGCCCTCTGCCCCCTCCCCTCCCAGGGACAGGGCAGGGACTTTGGGAGACTCCCCAGGAGTGTCCAGGAGGCCATGGAGAGACAACCTCTGCCATCAATTCTATCCTCTCCCAGGAATTCAGGACAAGCCCCTTGACCTGCCAAGGCCTGGGTCTCAGTGATACAGACTCTGAACTTGAGCCAGTTTGCAGAATGGCAGTGACCAAAAAAGGCACGTTACATAAGAGCGCTACTACTGTACCGTTGGGGCTGTCTCGGCAGCCTGATCTGTGCTGTGGTCCACAGGCTTTCTAGCTGGGCGCAGTGGCAACACTGGCTGACATGCTGATGGGATGAAGAGCCAGAGGGGGTAAATGACTGCTGAGATGGGGGGAATCATTCTTCCCATGGAGGAGCTCTGGCATCGTTTGTTCAAGCCCAAGTGGTCAGCCCTGGACGTCTCTACACGGGAGCAACGTATACTTCCAAGTGTCATTGTCCATGTAGTGCGTCTCCGGATATTATTATGTTTAGGATGCTTGATTTTAAGAACTGCTGTTTAAGTTGTTGAATTGAGTTTCGTTTTTTAAATCATTAGATGAATTTTGCTTGCGAGTAGGACAGGATTTCCAACAATTTCTGAAATATATGTAAGCATGTATATGCCACTTTTACTGTACATTTATGTAAAGCAGCACTCTCAGCCTTGATGACTATAAAATCAAACTGACCAGCTCTGAGAAAATACTAAAGATGCTATACATGCTGCCTTATCAGATATTCAACTAAGACTCAGTTCTTCATGTAAAAACAAGGACATTCATCTGACTAGTGTGCGAATTTGCTTTTGTCTTTAATAAATTCGTATATATGCAGTTCGTGTGTGTGTGTGTGTGTGTGTGTGTGTGTGTGTGTGTGTGTGTGTGTGTGTACAAAGAACTGTTGTAAAATAAATTTCTTCATGAATTAAAAAAAAAAAAAAAGGCAAGTTACATGCTCAGCAAGGCCAGCTCTGCTGTGGTTCGAACAATCTGTCTTCTTCACATTGGAGATAACGTGGAATTAAGATTATGCAACTTATGACTGCCCAAACAAAACAAGACCACAGGGATCATGATAGATGGTACACCCATGTGAGCAGAGTAGAATTCTGGGTCCTGTGCCAACTCCAGCCTAAACCAGTTCCCACACCCCAAGGGGGGCCAAGGCCTGTGCACTGGCTCCCTCTAGTGGACACGAGTGAATTGGACCTGGAAGTCAGATTTCAGGCACAAGCAAGGTAGTTTCACGGACTACAAGGGGGCTATGAGGAAGCCCCGACTATGGAAGAGCGCAGGCCCTGGGCCCCGAGGAAGGGATTGGGGCCGGTCTTGTGGGATGTCCTCATCACCTGTGCATTCAGGTAACAGACAGCTCAGGGACAGTCTAGCCTTTGCTCTGAGGACATTAAAGGTCCCTCTGGGGTATGAAATGCTGTGAATGCTTTGTGTGTGGACAAGAGGAGCCCACAGAGCCTACTAGGGGCCTAACTGTCTTGTGGAACTGTCCGGACAGTGACGTCTGCTTCAGCACTGTGGGGTCCTCCCATGCCACTCCTGCCCACTCGGGAGTCACAGACCACCTTTCTCTCTGTAGCTGCCTGATGTCTCCTGCAAGGGAGTCACCCGCTGGGCAAATAGACATGACCCATCTGGCCTTTTACACCAGTGGAAGGGCCTTGGGCAGCATAGGCATGTCCTGGGGCATGCATGGGGCAGGGTTTCTGTCACAGCCCCAGCTTCCAGGAAAGACTGAGGCAAGATGATGCTCAGGATCCAGCTCAAGCCTGTTGGGTCCCATTCCCGAGTCCTTTACTGACTGTGTGGCCTGGGGAAACTGTATAACCTCTCTAAGCACCAACCTCCCCTGTTTGGAAGTACATAAGATGGTTTTGGTGTGTATTACATAAGGTGGATAGATAATTCAATCCTAAAAGGACAATTTAAACCATTCTAGAATAAATCAGGCAGGATGGTGCATGCCACATTCCATAGAACATGAGAGCTGTGGGGAAGGCAGACTGAGATGCAGGACAGCTGAGGGATGAAGCCCGAGGTGGGGAAGCGCTGCAGCACTACCCAGGACCCGTTGATGACGATGATGATGACGGTAATAAATGTGTGTGTGTGTGTGTGTGTGTGTGCGCGCGCGCACGCGCGCACACGCGCACATGCACATGGGAGTGAGAATGTGTGGAGTAAGCTTGTGTGTGCACACATCGGTGCAGGCAGCCATTCAAGAACATCCAGTAGTGGGGTTCTGGGGCCCTTGGATATAGATGGGTGGTCCACAGGCTGCTGTCAGGAACCCAGGACAAATGAAACAGCTTAAAATGTCACCAGCGTACCCTCCACAGGGCCAGGTCAGTGCGGAAGTCCAGGAGTGGGCAAGGCGGCAGCCCCTCGATTCTTCCAGCTCCTAAAGGTGCCTGTTTTCCCTTGATGTGGGACTCCTGCCTCCATCTTCCAAGCCAACAGTGCAGCATCTTTGCGCTTCTTTCCTGACATTGCTGGGAAAGGGTGTCCACTAAGGACCCCAGAGACCGCCTGGAGCCCAGTAGAACATCCCGAGTTGTCTTCTGTTTGTAACTCCGTGCCTTAATCTCATCGGCATAGCCCCTGTGCTGTGGAATGTGACTGACTTGACAGACTGGGACCCAAGTGCAGAAACCTCTGGGGCCATTCACGGTCCAGTGAAAAAGGGGTCTGCAGGCCCCAAGGACTGATGCCAACCGTGTCCTGAAGGCTGCGTGTGGTGACAGAGACTCGAGACCACAGCAAGGTGAGAGACACAGCTTAGCCCTCAAGGAGGCAGGTAGGAAGGCTGGGCTGCCTTCCTGAAGTCAGAGGGGAAACAGGAACATAGAGAATGGATGCAATGGCTGAGCCTGTCTCTGTCCTGTTTTCTCGCCTATACCCCAGGCACAACATGAACCTCCTGTGTGGCCATGGGCTTAAGAGCGTGAAGCGCATTATTAGTACCAGGCCTCCGAGCCACTGTAGGAAGTAGGAGGTGAGGGGAACATGTTGGAGGAGGAGGCAGCAAAGGATTTTGAGGGCCATGTCCAGCAAAGGGTGACCACCCCTTCTGTGTGTGCCCTCCCTGTGCTAAAATACTCCTTCTGAAAACCCTCCTAAATCCTCCTGGCTGACCAGGAAGGACACTGCCACCCCCTCTCTGGACATGCTACATCACCTGAGTGTCCCAACCTGCCCCATGCAAATACTGAGCCCTCCTGAATGAAACTCACCCCCCTCCACCCACACACCCACAGTGTGGCTGGGTGCCGTTTGTGCCTGATGCTTGCGGCTAAACAAAGAGGAAGTAACGATGCCCATGGGGCCCTGGCAGAGCCAAGCCTTATGATCCCCTGAAGCTCTTCCCAATACTGCCCAGAGACATCATTGTCCAGTGAGAAAGAGTCCAGACGTCCTGGAAAGAGCTAACCGAAGTTCCCAAATTTCCGGGCTGTTGGCCCAGGTACAGGCAGTATAAGGCTAGCCCATGGGCGTGGGGCACTCTTCCTGAGCTTCCAGGAATGTCTGTGCCTTCACCTGCTCCAGAGAGGAAACCTGGAACATGGCCACGGGCCAAATCACATGATATATACCAGCAGATGATTGAGGCAGGGCCTCACAGGGTAGCCTGTCTGCACTCAGATGGAGTGGAAACTGAGTCACTGAAGCGGGTTGTGGGGTGTCCACACCTACAGGATCAACCCTAAGAAAACATCTGGGCACAGAGCACGGCTGAGCTTCCTCACCATGTCACACTCAGCTGCAGGGGACAGGCTGTCCCAGATCATTTCCGGAAGACAAAAGATGGGATCCCGTGCACCTGTATCCCAGCCTCTGCATTTACCTTGCTGGGTACACTGGAGTCCCCTTGGTGGGCTTTGTGAACTGGACAGTGACTTTGGGGACCAAGATACAAATGCAAAACGTGGGCATTCAGGTTATAGAGTATTTAAAATAGCAGCTTCCACATCAACGTCATGGGCTAGAAGTCCTGTCCACAACCTCAGAGAGTCACAGTGCATAGTCTGGGTGGTCACGTGACTCCACAAAAAACCCAAGTATGCCTCAGAGACAGACCTGCACAGAGCCATCATCCTGTAGGGGTGTGCCTCAGAGATGGTGGTGTGAGGGTCTACCAGGCGCATGCTCACCTGATGATGGGCTTGAAGATGCTCCACAGTGCTTTGATGAAGCTGGTGGGGTGGACAACATAGAGCGCCTTCAGGTTCTTCTTATACCTGAGGAGGGAAAGGTGAGGTGACTGTAGGTCCCCTAACTCCAGCACACTCCACACTGAGTGCCTGCACAGCAGGCCTGAGACGCAGAAAATCCATTTCTCAACAGGCCCAACTAAAGGATGTAGGTTAAAACCCAGAAAGAACTGGGGATGCATGCCTTTAATCCCAGCACTTGGGAGACAGAGGCAGGTGGAGCCCTGTGAGTTCGAGGCCAGCTTGGTCTATGTAGAGAGTTCCAGGCCAGCCAGGGCTACACAGTAAGACTCTGTCTCAAAAACAAAACAAAACAAAATCAGAGACCAGAAGAGGAAGGGACTGGGAAGATGGCTTAGTTGGAATCCATGTAAGAAAAACTGGGTGTGGTGGCAGGTGCTTATAATCTCAGTACTGTAGCTTGAGTTTTCCTGCCTGGCCCACAGTCAGGGCAAATCTCTCTCACCTGCCAGTCCCACAGCCGCTCAGACCCGACCAAGTAAACACAGAAACTTATATTGGTTACAAACTGTATGGCCCTGGCAGGCTTCTTCTAACTGTTCTTACAGCTTAAATTAATCCATTTCCATTAATCTATACCTTGCCACATGGCTCGTGGCTTACCGGCATCTTCACATGCTGTTTGTCATCATGGCGGCTGGCAGTGTCTCTCTGACTCAGCCTTCCACTTCCCAGCTTTATTCTCCTCCTTTTCCCGCCTACACTTCCTGCCTAGCCAATGGCCAATCAGTGTTTTATTTATTGACTAATCAGCAACACATTTGCCATACAGAACATCCCACAGCACAGTACTAGGGAGGCCGAGGCAGGAAGATCCCTGGCCAGCCAGTCTAGCCCTACTGCGCAAAGCAAATGAGAGACCTCATCTCAACAAACAGGGTGGATGGTGCCTAAGAATGACAGCTGAGGTTAGCCTCTGGCCTACACACATGCACACATGTGCGTACACACACACACACACACACACACACACACACACACTGTAGAAGCTGTAGAAGGCATTTAAACTCAGAAACTCTGATCCCTCTGCTCAAAGCCCACCCACTGCATACTTTACACTGCATGTGTGTGACGCGATGTGTGGGAAGTGGAGCCTGCGGCTGTGGCTACTTTTGCAGATACAGATGCTGGGTGGGAGGCATGGAGCACAGCCCTAAACTTGTTGTTAAACTGCAACAATACACCAGGAGGCCGGGTTAGGGGCTGGGAGCGAGTGTGACTTCTGTCTTTCAGGACAGGAATCAAAGCTCAGACAAAGAAAGCATCTAAGCAGAGGGCTGAGGTGGCCTGGCATGGGACACCAGAACAGAGTGGGTAGGGGCATCTGGAGGTAAGGGAGCCAGGCTGGAAGAGGAGGGGCTGTGTCAGGGAGAAGCCAGATCGGGGAGCTGGAGTGAGTGTGCAGAGGAGCGGGTGCTGGGCTCCCATGAGCTCACACTGTCAACTCATGAGGCTGACCAGTAACGTGACGGCCCCAGGCCAGAAAGGCGATAGGACCTTTAAGTACACAGTCCTCAGGAAGGAGGCAGGATCCTGGGAGAAGTGACAGGGTTGGGATGCAAGAGGGAAGGAAGCCTGGAGAGAGAGAGAAGGGGTGAGACAGGACCCTGAGCCAGGCTGCGGGGCAACGGTGGGCGAAGATAAATTTATGTCCCGTGAGCAATAAATGATATGATAAAGGCCACACTAAAGGAAGTCACCCCTCCAAAATCGAGGCCATACGACAGGCTTCAAGGAATCTGCTGCTGTGGAATTCCAGAATGCAGTTAACCCCCACTATGCACCCTGGAGCTCAGAGGTCACAGAAACAGGCGACTTTTCTTTCACCCTGCGGCTGGGAAGGTCAGAAGGTCGAAAAATCAGGCATTCCATCTGATCTTCTACCTCACAGTTTCGAAAAACAGTTTCTCAGAAAAAAACAAAAAACAAAAACTCCCCAGTTTCTGGGACTGGAAAAGCCAGGCCTTCCTCTCTCCTACTCTCTACAAAAACTGATTCTCAGAGCCTGTACAGTGATTCTCCTGTACCCTTGCAGACTAAGCCACAGGCGTGAGGACGCCAACCTCAGACCAGCAAAGTCTGCTCTTGCCGTTTCGAGGTCATCTTCCTCCCAATGACTCATTTCTTACAACGTACCCCACTGAATGACACAGCAAGTCGCATGTCCCTGTTGACGTGAGCGAGAGGAGAGGGCATATCCTGCAGGTCAACGCAGGCCAGTGCTCCATCACCACCCACCCCTCCGCACCGACCGTGAGCGAGGCCAGGCACAAAGGCCATCAGTGGCATCTGGAAACTTGATGCTACAACCACGTGGCCTCAGTGGATCAGCCAAAGAGCTTCTGACGAATCACATCTGAACAATCTCTGGCCACAAGGTAGGGGAGCCTGGAGCTACCCCACACCCACTGAAGAGGCGGCTGCTCTCACTAGAAGCCTTGAACAGGACAAACGCTCCTGGAATCAGGTTGTGTAAGGAGTGGACACATAGCAGGTGTGGCCTGGCTTGAGGGTGATGCCCAAGAGGGAAGCGGGTAGGACTCCTCCGGGGCAGAGCAGAGGCAGCATGATGGCTCTCCCAGCACAAAGAGGAGCTGGGGTCCCAGTTGCAGGCGCCTGGGGACAGAGGGCTCATTACCCTCCACACATCACAGTGTTGGAGGGTTTAAAGCACCCACTTGTTTGTCTCTATGGAGCCAACATAGACAATCCTATCCCTGCCCCACCTCCCTTTCCTAGAGAGTAGGGAAATCTTTATTGATTTGTTTTGTTTGGGTCTTATTCTTGAAACACGGTCAAATGCAGCCCAGGCCAGACTGGCCTCAAACTCACACCGCCCAGAGCGACCTTGAACTCTGGTCCTCCTGCCTCCACCTCCAGAGTGCTGGGATTACAAGCACGCCCCACCACATCTGGCTGAGAGTGGGGAAATTAGACACTAGAGCTCAGCTCCCCCAGTCCGGAGACCACGGCCATATCTTCCTTCCACCTCTATCTAGTGCCCGCTGACCCAGGTTAGAAGAGCCGGAAACAGGCAGCCGGCAAGGACTTTGTCCCTGCTCATGGACAGTTGTGATCTCTCTCGCCCTTCAGCGTGAGTGCGAATGTCTGTTCGCATTGGACACAGGTGGCCTCCAACCTCTGAATATATCACCGTGCCAAAACCACTGGCCGGCCTGCTAGGCATGATGGCACATTCCTTTAATCCCAGCACTTGGGACACAGAGTCCTGGTCTACATAGAGAGTTCCAGGCCAGGCAGGGCTATACAGTGAGATCCCGTCTCAAACAAAAAACAAACATAAATCACCACCTTTCACCCAGATGCCCACCCCCCCCCCCCAGCTGTGTTATACACTTTTGCCTCCTACAACAGGCCAGAAGTGTTGGGATGCTGTAGCCTTCTCCCAGATGGACTCTCTCCATCACTAAAATGAGACCCCTGCATCTGTCTCTACCCACTGCATATAGCCCACGACCCCTCCGCCATTCAGTCCCTGTGTACAGCCCACCCCTGTGTCTCCCAAGGTGCTTTGTACACACTTCCGGTCAAACTCCTTGTAGGCATTCTGGAGCCAGCCCAGTGACGGTTTGTTCTGGCTGCTGAGGCCGTAGTGAAAGTAGACGATGGTATAGTCATTCTCCACATGCTGGTCCAGCGTGTACTTCAGATACCTGAAGGGCACAAGACACAGGGTTTCTTCAGGACAGCCACTTGCTCTGCACTGTGAGTTACTGATGTCTGTGAAACAGGAGCCATGGTCAGTCAGCAGGTGCTGGAGCAGACCACGCTCAGGTTATCTCCAGAACCACATGGAGACTCTACATCCTTGTTCCTTAGGCACCACCTGAGGTTCAGAGGTGTTAGCTCACTGACCCAAGGTCATACAGCAAGGAGACGTGACATCGCCCCCAAGAAATCCACAGGAAAGCCTCAGAAACTGTGACTGCCCCACATTTGGAAGAAAAGCACTTATGGATGAATCTGGGCTCTTAAGAGATGGATAGGTAGATGCTGGATGGGCTGTTGTTTGTTTGTTTGTTTGTTTGTTTGTTTTCAAGACAGGGTTTCTCTGTGCTGTTTTGGTGCCTGTCCTGGATCTCTCTTCGTAGACCAGGCTGGCCTCGAACTCACAGCCTCCCAAGTGCTGGGATTAAAGGCATGCGCCACCACCGCCCGGCAAGAAGTGAATGTAAGTCCTTGACAATGTTTTCTTCTCTTTTCTTTTTTTTTTTCCCCCGGAGCTGAGGACCGAACCTAGGGACTTGCACTTGCTAGGCAAATGCTCTACCACTGAGCTAAATGCCCAACCGCTGGATGGGCTTAATCCCAGCACTCGGGAGGCAGAGGCAGAGGCAGATGGATCTCTGTGAGTTCAAGGCCAGCCTGGACTACAGAGTGAATTCCAGGAGAGGCGCAAAGCTACACAGAGAAACCCTGTCTCGAAAAACCAAAAAAAAAAAGAAAGAACTCTTAGAAATACAAACCCAGGCCCAGGTCCCTTCATGGGTCCATAGCAAAGACCCTCAGAGAGACAAAGCTGTGTGAGGATGGAGGTAGAGTGGACGTGATGCAGCCCTGCCAAGAGGTGCAAGGGTTTGTCTGGTATTGGGATTTAAAGGAGATGGATTGCCTGCTTTGCCTTGCAGGGTGCACTAAGGAATCAGGCCTGCCACACACACCCTGGTCCTGCATAGAATGTAGTTCTACTGTTTTATGCCTCTAGATTCATGATCATTTGTTATGATAGCCACAGCAAACTGTTCCAGCAGGGGCTGAGATTCAAACTCAAGGCCATGTGGCTTCCAGTCTTGCCCTTGCCCCAGCACTATGGTCCTATCTACCACAGATGTCTTGCTGATCTGCTGTTACCAGGAACACACCTTCCTGCTCTCTAGACAGCCTGCATCCATCAGGAATGAAAGACAAGACTCCAGGCACCCAGGACAGGGGACTGTCCCCAGTCCTCAGTCAGTGCCCACAGTTCAGCTGGCTAAGAAGGAATCAAGCCAATGTCCACCATTCTACTGGTGCTGGTGAGTCCTTGGTAGTCCTGGTGATGAGAACCTCCCCAGATGGCTCTGGAGTGGGTTAGGATGATCCTGAGCTTAGTGCGTCTCCAGATCCACACAGGGAATTGAGATGGAGATGGCCACCCTGGGAGGCAGATGCCCGGGGCTGAGAACAGGGTAGTACTCACTCCAGCAGACGCTGGTGGTTGAGCTGGTGCAAGGGTGGCAGCCGGCAGCAGCTGAATGTGAAGATGCGTCTCCCCTGGCGGTCATCCCCTGGAGGAACAGACAAAGGTGTGAGCTAGGATGCTCAGGGCTGGGGCTCAGCCAGGTCACATCTGAGGGAGGTATGTGATGTGCACATTTTCTGAGAAAACCTTCCAGCCAGCCATTTAACAGATGGGACACTGAGGCTGCCGAGTTACATCACCAGTACCAGGTCCCACCAGCTTAACTTTCACTTCATTGGACTTCAAGTACAGGATCCGGCTGCCTCCTTCTCACCAAAGTGTCCCTCAGTGCTGTCCTAGGACCCTGAGTCTTGGAGAAGGCCAGAAGGGCCAGAGGCCAGTTGCCCCTGGACAGGAAGGACCTGTACAGGAAGGAACCCCATGCTTGCTCTTTCTTACATTGTGGAGCCAAGTCACCCTGTGCTGTGACCAGCTCTTGGAACACAAGAGGCCTTGGGGACAAATGCATTCTGAGAACTGGCAATAGCCTCTGAGTCTGGAGCTCTGGCCTCCTCGTACCCAGGGCAGGGGGTGATCTTCAGCTTCAGAGAGATAGTGCATATAACTCAGTTGGCTAGGGAAGAAGCAAGCTGGTCCCAGCATACAAATGGTGCCGGTGGCAGCCATGGTAGCCTCGGTGACAGGAGCCTTCTCAGATGACTCTCAAGTGAAGGCCATCCCCCGAGCCTAGGCTCAGGCCAGGCATATGGTGGCCCTAAGTGAGCTAGATCACACAGCCTCTCTCCAGAGGACAGGTAGCTGCTGAGGTCCCAGGTGCTGCATATGCGATGGTCGGACCTTCCTTCAATCTACATGGCACCCCAGGTTCACAGTGGAGGACGGGATCGGGACTAGCAGCCCCACATTATACTGAGGAGCAGCAGCCTGGAGTCACAGCTCCCGCCCACTGGGTCCTCGGGGCTTTACTTCACAGCTCTGCCTTAGAGACATGGGAAGAAAATGATGGGCTGTGCTAACTCTGGCCTTCACGCTTTATTACAGGTAAGCACAGGGCACAGGTGAATGCAACTGAGGCATGTGCCGAGGACCAGAGCACCGGAAAGAGACCAGCTCTCCAGGGTTCAAAAGCAAGGAGACCTGGATGCAGGGACCTTCCTTCATAACTTTCTTTCTTTACCACTGTCTCACACTCTGTGTGTGTGTGTGTGTGTGTGTGTGTGTGTGTGTGTGTGTGTGTGTGTGTGCAGTACAGCACGTGTGTAGAGATCAGAGGATAACATGTGACAGATGGTTCTTTCCTTCCACTAATGTGGGACCCAGGATCAAACTTGACTATAGGCATCTTGACACTTTGAGCCATCTCAGCAGTCCCCCACCCCTCCCCTCGAAACAAGGCCTGAATATGTAACCCAGGCTAGCCTGAAATGAGAGAGCCTCCTGAGTCAGGATAAAAAGAAAAAAGGGGGCAGAGGAAGGGACAGATGACCTCAACCTGGAATCCCGTTTGTCCTTGCTGACTCTTGGCTCAACACAGCCAAAAGAGCTGACTGTGCAAAGATGTGCATTCTAAGGACTTCTTAAACACAGACATCAAAGGCAACCAGTGAACTGTACTTCCTTAGGAAAGAAATGTCCGTGGCCTTGAGTTTAGCTGAGTTAGCACTCCCCGCTCATCCCTAAATTTAAGCCACACAATCCATAAATCCACCTCACAGTGGCATTCACAAAAGGAATAAAAAGACATAAGTCATCCAGCTTATTTTAAAAAAAAAACTAGATTAGTTTATTTTATATGTGTGGGTGTTTGTCCGCACATATGTCTGTATGTCATATGCATGTGGTGTTGCAGAGGCCAGAAGAGAACATCCAATCCCCTCTAACTGAAGTTACAAATGGTTGTGAGGTGCCATGTGTGTGCGCTGAGAATCAAACTCTTGACCTCTGCAGGAGTGGACAGTGCTCTTAACCACCGAGTCATCTTCCCAGGCCCTAAATGAAATCTTAAAACATCATTTTTTTTAAACTTCCCCTATCTGTGTGTGTGTCGTGGAGTGTGTATACATTCCTGTGTGCACAGGTAGAGGCTGAAGGTTGGTGTCGGGCATCTTCCTCGGTCTCTCTCCAACTTATTTCTTGAGACAGGGTCTGTCACTAACCCTGGAGCTCATGGATTCCACAAGAGTAGCTGGTCAGGGAGCCCCGGGGATCCTTGTCTGCCCCTCCCCAGTACCCAGCCTTTTACAGGAACTCTGGGGGAATGAACTCGGCTGTTCCAGCTCATGTGACAAGCAGTTTCCCAACTGAGCCCTCATCTCCCCAGCTCCTTCAACTTTGCCTAATCTTTCAGCCTCGTTGTACACAATATTATTTGAACAATGCAGCTCCCAAAGGCCCAGAATCATAAACACAACCAGTGGAAGCAGGGAGATGGCTCAGCGGGAAGGAGCACTTACTGCTCTTGCAGAGGGCCCTGGCTTGCTTCCCTGCACACAAATCAGGTAGCTCAAAACTGCCCGTATTTCTAGTTTCAGGATCCTATGCCCTCTGGCCTCCGTGGGCACCTGCATGCGTGTGGTGCACATATAAACAACTCGTAAAGACAAGTCAGTGTGACTCCCTGGAAACCAGTACTCACACTCAAGTGTGTGCTGTCCACTTCCTGTGAGCCTTTCCCTACATGATTAAAAAACTTGCTACCTTGAGGGCTGGAGAGATGGCTCAGCGGTTAAGAGCACTCACTGGCAGCTTGTCAAGGGGACCCAGGCTCGATTCCCAGCACCCAATGGTGGCTCACAACCATCTCTAACTCCAGTTCCAGAGGATCTGACACCCTCTTCTGACCTCCACAGACACCAGGCAAGCATGTGGTTCACAGACATACATGCAGACAAAACACCCATACACATAAAACAAAACAAACAAAAACTTGCTAACTAACTTGCTTAATTCTGAATTGTTTTTTTTTTTGTTTGTTTGTTTGTTTTTGAGACAGGATTTCTCTGTGTAACAACAGACCTGCCTGTCCTGGAACTCCTTCTGTAGACCAGGCTGGCCTCAAACTCACAGAGATCCACCTGCTTCTGCCTTCTGAGTGCTGGGATTAAGGGTGTGCGCCACCACAGCATAGTCCAAACTGTTCTTAAATTCTTTTTTTATTTCCATCCTGAAATTCTTTTCTGCAATGCAGTCAAGGATGCAACTTAGTCAAATATAGTGGTGCGTCGATTAATCCCAGCACTCAGAAGGCAGAGGCAAGTAGATCTCTGAGTTCGAGGCCAGCCTGGTCTACAGAGTGAGTTCCAGGAGAGCCAGAGCTACATAGAGAGTCTCTGTCTCAAAACAAAACAAATCAAAACAAACGAAAGACCCAGCTTTACCATAGTGGAGGTTCCAAGGAGAAGATGTCTACTGGCAGCGCTGGGCTGCCTCTCGCCAGAACCGATGACACTCCTGCCTGAGTCTCCAAGCACTAGAATTACAGACATGTGCCACCACATCTGACTTGCACTTCATAGAAGGCATTCTCCTGTCCCAGCCTCGAATGTCACCCCTCCTGACTCCCCTGACCTCCTAATCAAGCTGATGGCCCCCACCCCTGGCCCTCACATTGTGCCCCACATCTGTGAACACACCATCCCATGCACACAGAAAGAGGACAGGCAATGTGCTGTGGAGTCATGACATGTGAAGGGCTCCTGGCTGCCATGGGCATCTAGTATTAGTACCCTTGGGTATTGGCCACACACACTGCAAGCTCAGTAGTGATACATGGCGAGGAGCCACCATCTTGGATAGAGTGGACACAGCATTTCCATCACACTGCACTGGAAACTGCTGCCCTTGAGTGGACCTTGAGGGGGTAGACTTCAGGGAAAACAGCTGTGGAGGCAGCTTTGGGTTGAATACTGTCCCCTTGCCCTCAAAACAACTCATGACTTCCTAGAGCCTCCAAATGTGACCTTGTTTGCAAACAGGGTCGTCACAGATTTAATTAGGTGAAGGTTTAAGACAGGGCTGTCCTGGATTTAGAACGAAGAGGCCGGAGACCCTGACCTAGGAGAGTACAAAGCCATGGGTCAAGGGGGGTGGGGAGAGCAGTGAGAGTCAAAGGTCAAGAGGTCAAAGGAATGCTGGAACCCCAGATGCTGAGGAGATTGGGGTGAATTTTCTCAGAGGCTCTGGGAGTAACCAGCCCAACCACACCTTAGATTCTGAACCCGAGAGCCATGAGAATGAATGTCTGCTCTTTGAAGCTCCTTGGATTGGAACCCTCTGTTTCAGCAACCCTAGAGCTATTATCTGTCACCTGGGTCCATAACCTTAGTACTCCAGAGAGCCTGAGGAAACAGAACTTGGTGGAGGGAAATGGATTCATTTATAGTTTGCACAGACCTTGGATAGAAGTACTACAATTTATTGTATCTGTGGCCGTCCTCCAGTGTATAGGAAGAGGCCAGAGCTATGTCTCGGAGCTGGGGCATGACTTAGCCTGTCCTCTCCTGGGGGAGGCCACCGCACCTCAGGCTGCCTCCATGTCCAGTCTCAGAATGAGGGGCACAGATGTCTCTATTTAGAATTTAGAATGTCTCTTCTGTCCCACTTCCTCTCTCATCTATAGCAGGGCACCAGGACAAAGGCTCCCTGCTGCTCAGTGTCGGTCTGCAAGGCTCACACACAAAGCCTGGGTCCCACAGAACAGCCACCGTCCGTGGCTCCTGCCATTCTCCTTTGCCTGCCTTGTAGGGGAGAACCTCTGCCCTTTCTCCTCCCTTGCATCCCCCACGCCACCACCCATGATGTCCAGGCTCCTCAGTGTCACCTTTACTTGTGTTTGTGGCCTCTTCTTCCTCCTCCCTTGGCCTGACCCTGTCCCAGCGGCCTCGGAGGGCTCTGGAAGTCCACAGCCCTCACTCATCCCTAAGAAGTCTGAGGAGACCCCTCCAGCACCCTTGGGGGCTCCTGCTCATCTCCTTTTCTGCAGGTCCAATCATCATTGACTGCTTGCCTGAAGGACAGGCCCCGGAAGACAACAAAGCTCCCCTTCTAGAAAGAGACCCATCTTAAACTCACTTGTGCTGTAAAGAAGTATTTCCAGCCATTCTCAGAGTTCCCTCCTCACTCCCCCAAATGTGATGCATGGACAGAAGTATGTATGCCCTGAAAGGTAATAAACCAGCATGAACTGATTACGTGCGCTGACTGCATGGGCCTGGGTGGGCTCCCGATTCCCGCCTCTGCAGCTGGAAAGCTGTTTGTTATGTACAACACCACACCATCCTTCCTCTGGGAAGCTCCAGAGCCTGGGATGTTTAAGATTCTAGAACAATCTGCTTGCAAATACAGCGTCAATTCATCTCCCTGTCCTTAAGAACTTGGGCCAGGCCTCCGCTTGTTTAGAGCTCTGTGCTCTAACCCACCCCACAATCCCCTCCCTTGTCCAGCAGGGGCTCTGGGCACAACACCAGAAAACAGCGAGTTTTCCAAACTGGGTTCTCTTGCCTGGGTTCCAAAGGCAACTGCGCCCTGTGTCTGAGGGCCACCAACCCCTCAGATGGAAGTTCTGAGTCACAGTATGGCTGCTTGAAAAGACAGTGATCTGCCAGGTGGGTGGCACATGCCTTTGATCCCAGCACTTGGGAGGCAGAGCCAGGCGGATCTCTGTGAGTTCGAGGCTAGCCTGGTCTACAGAGCGAGATCCAGGATAGGCACCAAAGCTACACAGAGAAACCCTATCTGGGGGGAAGGGGGGAGTGACATTCCCCAAGGCTGAGTCAGACCTGACTCACCAGATCTGCAGGGCTCTCCACACAAAGCCTGGGTCCTACACAGCAGCAGCCGTCTGTGGCTCCCACTACCTCTGCTTCCTTGCACCAGAAAGTCTCTGTATTCCCGCTCCTGCAGCTCCCATGCCATCCCCTGTGAGGTCCAGGCTCCTCAGCACCCCCTCCTTGTTGGTGGTCCCTTCCTCCTTCCCCATTTGCCTGATCCAAAGATCAGTTAGTCAATGCTCACTGAGGGCTGCAGCATCTCAGTGCAGGAGAAGCCAGGAGATGCCACTCCTGCAGGCAGGGGATAGGGCGTCTCTGCCCAGCCCCAGCAGCCACAGAAGACTGTCCTCTGCTGCTCCAAACAGAGTTTTGCACACTCCCCAGAAGCCAGGAAAACACCCAGAACACACACTCTCTCTCCTCCTCTCCCTCCCCTGCCCTCCCTCTGACTCTTAAGCCATACACCGCCTTATTAAGTTGTTAGTGTCGCGTCTGCGTTCATGCCATCAGTCACTACGAGAAGCGTTCCTTCCAACAACACAGATGAGCACATCACACAGGCTTCGAAATGATAATAACAGAAGGAGATGAACACTACCCTCAGCGCAAATTCCACAGGCCTGAGATTAATCCACCGCCCGCTTCTCCCCCTGTCTACAACACGGCATCACTAGCTGTCCCCTGTCTCTACACCAGAGAAGCCCCATTAGGTGCCCAAAGGACGGCTTCTCAGAGTTGTCACCCGTGGCAGGCACAACACGTTCATCATCTTGTCCAGTAAAACAAGGCAGAGGGTCTGAGTGGGTCACAGTCTAATTGGAGGGATGTGGGAGTTGGTCTATCTGGGGCTTTTTATTTAGCGTTGCTAAGGGTTCCCTCAAAATTGGCGGGAGATGAGAAAACTTGGAAGAGTCTATCTTGGAAGGCTGTGACATGCTGGGTAGAATGATCTAGATGAAAGGATGACACCTGTCGTCCCAAACACCAGGTTTGGCATAGCCTTCTCTTTCTCTTCCAGGCCTCTTGTTCCCCTCCACAGCTCCAAGAGCCTGCTTCCTGCCTCCTTTCTCTGGTATTTAGGTCCAGAACCTTCCATTTCCCATTCTCGTCCTCACCACGTGATCTCTACCAAGCCCAGCCCCGTGGGCCGCAGCCTCAGATTCCCAAACAACATTCATTGCGTTTGACCACTTACTAATGTACTGAAGTCCCCACAGCTTCTACGGTGCCTTGGCTGACCAAAAGCATGCACTTAAGTGGCATGCCATTCTTTAGTTACCTTTAGCAAGTCTCCAGATTTGGCTGTAGGACCCTGGGAAGGCTGCACTACCCCTAGGTGAGGCCACGTCTGGTTACACCTGGAGGATATAACTGACTCCTAAGAAGGAGTCCTGGAGGGAAGGTGGTCCCTGGCTCAGAACTACCCTTCAGCCCACAGGAAACTGAGGAGCAAGAACCGGGGTTAAAGACAGGAGTCAATGTTGAACGCTGTACGAAGCCCTGGGAGGGGAAGAGGTGACCTCCTTTGTGACAAGAATGACCCCAGTGGGAGACTGCCAAATGTGTCCTACACTAAGTGCTCACCGGAAACAGAGAAACAGCCATGGGGGACAGAGGGAGCCTGTGACAGCCCACCATCCTGCAAGACCTAAAAGACTGTACTGCCCAGTCTGGGGATCAGCCAGATGGTTCACCTACCTGCCACCTGCAGAATGCCGTGTCTGGCCACGTCATAGAATGGGTGATTCGTGCTCAGCGTCGGGTCCTGGCTAGCCATGGACACTACTGAGGGCCCTCCTGTGGCCCCCAGTGTGGCTGTCGCTTCTTGGTCTCTCTGTAGCTCTGCTGGGGACACAGGAATTAAAGGGAGTCAGGGAGCAAGCTAGGTTAGGGGGACCTATCGCCAAGCATTGACAAGTCACTATTAAATACTATTGGTACACCATTAATAGTTAGCCTTTACTGAAACCATCCTTTTCCAGGTGGATTTTTGTTTTAAGCTGCGATGTTGAGAGGGAGGGAAGCTGACTTCCTAGTTAACAGCTTTTAGACCCTTCCCTGGTGTCTTGCTGTTTTGAGTGGATGATAATCCTCCAAGTAGCCAGCCACGCGTGGCTGCTCTGAGCACTACGCAGGGCCTGGAGGAAGCCCCACGGCATCTACAGCTGCTTGCTGTGGAAGCATGGCTCTGTCTCCCAAAGCTCTGTCTAGCCACACCCACTTCAGTACCCAGCCCCGGACTTTTGCCAGTTCTGTCTCCTGAAGCCGTCTCGCCATACCGTCTTCAACACCCTGCCGTCAGCCTCAGTGAACTCTGCATGAGCCTGCAGCCATTTCTACCCAGACCCGAGGGAGAGTGCTTCCCCTGGTAATCCAGCAGAAGGCCTGTGATTGGCAGAGCCCCTCACTGGAGTGAAGGCCTGCCACAGTTGTTAAAGATGCCCCGGCCAGGCGGCTATGTGAATGAATCCCTTTGGGACTCAGAGGGAGACCGTTTCCCCGTGTTGCCCCCTGGGCCCGTTCAAGGCTTCTCCCTGGTGTCCATTTCTTGCTCAGTTCTGACATTTTTTTCCCCTTCATTTTTATTAGTTCTTTTATACAATGTGTTTTGATCTTATTCCTTCCCCCAACTACCCCCGATCTACCTGCTTCCCTACCCACCCAACTTTGTGCCTTCTGTTTCTTCCTCTAAACTCATGAAAGTCAAATTTATGCTGCCCATGTATTCTTGGATTTGTGGCCTTCCACTGGAGCACGGTTCACTTACCAGGGGCTACATTTTTTAAAAATATTTATTTATTTATTTATTTATTATGCATACAATATTTTGCCAGCATGTACGCCTGCCCAGGAGAAGAGGGCGCCAGATCTCGTTATAGATGGTTGTGAGTCATCATGTGGTTGCTGGGAATTGAACTCAGGACCCCTAGGAGAGCAGCCAGTGCTTTTAACCACTGAGCCATCTCTCCAGCCCCAGGGGCTGTACTCTTAAAAACAAAAACAAAAAAAAAACTCTGACTCTCCCTCCCCTTGCAACTACCAATTGCCAACGGCTCCTTAGCTAGGGTGGGGCTTTGTGCCCACCTCCCCTCTCCATGCTGGGGTCTTGTCTGGGTTGAGTTATAGGCAGAGTGAGCTGAGCAGGTAACAGGAAGACTGGAAGGTGGTGGCAACAGCAACCATAGCAACGGGGGCAGCAATAAAGGGCATGTGAAGCTGTGTGTCTGTGTGTGGTGGCTCGTGCCTTTAATCTCAGTACTCGGGAGGCTGAGACAGATGGATACCGGTGAGTCCAAGGCCAGCCTGATCCTCATAGTAAGTCCAGGCTGGCCAGGGCTATGCAGTGAGATGCTTTCTCAAAACAAAAAAAACAAAAGCAAAAACAAAACCCCCCAAAAACAAAGAATACAGATGGAGTTTTCCAGAGACTGCCTAGGGCAGAAGCAAAAGAAGAACAAATGTGGTAGACACAAGAGCTGTGCAGGTCTGAAGAAGTTGAGGGCCCTAATTGCTACGAGAGTTCCAGGAGCTGTCAAAAGGCCCAGGGATACAGACACCAGGCCCGAGAGCCGTCACACCCGCCACTGTGAGGGCTGGGATACAGACACCAGGCCCGAGAGCCGTCACACCAGCCACTGTGAGGGCTGGATACAGACACCAGGCCCGAGAGCCGTCACACCGGCCACTGTGAGGGCTGGATACAGACACCAGGCCCGAGAGCCGTCACACCCGCCACTGTGAGGGCTGGGATACAGACACCAGGCCCGAAAGCTGTCACACCGGCCACTGTGAGGGCTGGATACAGACACCAGGCCTTAGAGCCGTCACACTAGCCACTGTGAGGGCTGGATACAGACACCAGGCCTGAGAGCCGTCACACCGGCCACTGTGAGGGCTGGGATACAGACACCAGGCCTGAGAGCCTTCACACCGGCCACTGTGAGGGCTGGATACAGACACCAGGCCTGAGAGCCTTCACACCGGCCACTGTGAGGGCTGGATACAGACACCAGGCCCGAGAGCCGTCACACCAGCAAGTGCCACCTGCTGCTGCTGTCTCCTGTCACCACTGGCTGTTGTCAGAAGCCAAGTTTTACAGCAGCTGCCAAGCGCTGGGGCCCCGTGAGGGCTGACCACCACAGAGAAGGGGACTGAATGTGCCTCAAACACGCACAAACAGAACTTGTCAAGATCGTGTGGGGCAAGGATGGCTGACTCTGCCATTCCCTCCTCTACAGTGCTCAACAGGAAGATGCCCACAGACAGGTGTGAGGCCTACAGTCCAGGCGCACAACCCCACAGTAAAGGGGCTTCTGGCCAGCAGCCAAAGTGAACACCTGTCAGTCAGCCCCCAGCATCCAGCATCCCCAGACCCCAGTCTCTCTCTCTCTCTCTCTCTCTCTCTCTCTCTCTCACACACACACACACACACACACACACACACACACACACACACACAAACACACATACCATGCAGTTGTACCAAGGATTGAACATGGAGCCTGTGTCTGGCCAAACCCCAAGCTACTAAAGAAAAAAAAAAAAAAAAGAAAGAAAAGGGGGGAAAAAAAAAAAATCAGGAATGATCACATGACCCAAGTCAGCCAATCACAGTAGATCCAAGAATTTTAAACTCACCTTTTCTTTTGTAGTGTGTGTGTGTGTGTTTTGTTTTGAGACAGGGCTGGCCTCAAATTTGATATTCAGCTGAGGATGACCTTGAACTTCTGATCCTCCTGCCTGGGATTATAGGTAAGTGGCACCATGCTCAACTTTATATGCAGTTAGAGATTGAAGCCGGGGCTTGGGCATGCTAGGCAAGGACTGGACCAACTGAACTATACCCCCAGCTCTAATTTTTGTTTTTGGTTTTTTTTTAGGGCAGGGTCTCATGTAGCCCAGGCTAGCCTTGAACTGACTATGTAGTTTAGGATAGCCTTGGACTCTTCATCTTTCTGCCTCCACCTCACGTGAAGACTCCACCCAAGTCTTCGCACTTCTGTTGAAGGCAGCCTTTGGAAACCTGACCCGAGAGTGGAAGGCCACCCCTTTATATCTGGGGCTCACGGCCAGGACTGTTTCCCCGAAGAGCTTAGATTTTTCAGTTAATGACTGATGGGAGAGGATTTCAGAACCAGGTGAATCTTTAAACACCAGACAGGGGTCAATAACCGTGACCTGATACAGCCCCAGCCCGGGCAAGTGAAAGCTGAGCAGCAACCCCAGGACACACAAGGTCTGAGAAGTGGCCAGGCCTGGGGAAGCAGCCCAGTGAGAGATGACAGAGGGCTCCTTTAAACAGCAGAGCGCCAAGAAAGAATGATGCAGACCTTGCAGGTGGCCAGGCCATGGGAGATGCTCCAGTTATCCCCCAAGAAGACTGTGAGGGGAGAAGTAGCCACGTCCACTGGACCCTTGCCATCCCCACGGACCTGTGAGCTGAGGCTGGTGTGCGTGGTTTATAAGACACATGTCTGAGGAGCTGGGAGACTCAGAGTGTTCACTGTCTTCAGTTTGTCCACACTACCTGGAGAGACCACAGCCTCTTGGAATTTCTGTTTAAAAGTAGCCCTTCTAAATGATGAAGCAAGAGCTATAATGAAAATAGTCAGATCCATAAGATGATTCAGGTAGTAATGGTGCTGTGGGATGGTCTGGATGTCAAATTGCTCTGATTGGTCAATAAATAAAACACTGATTAGCCAGTGGCCAGGCCGGAAGTATTGGCGGGACTAACAGAGAGAACAGAGAAAACAGGAAGGCGGAGGGAGTCACTGCCAGCCGCGCCATGACAAGCAGCATGTGAAGATGCCGGTAAGCCACGAGCCACGTGGCAAGGTATAGATTTATAGAAATGGATTAATTTAAGATGTAAGAACTAGATAGCTAGAAGCCTGAGCCATTAGGCCAAACAGTTCAAATAGTACAAGCGTCTGCGTGTTTATTTTATAAGGGGGCTGTGGGACTGCCGGGGATTGGTGGGACCCGGAGAGAAAACTCTCCAGCTACATAATGGAGCTTGTCATTAAAGCCTGACAACCCCAGTCCCATCCTCAGAATGCAGAGTGGAAGGACAGAACTTACAAGCTGTCCTCTGATCTCCACGTGTAGGTCATGGCATACCCACGTGTGTTCCCACACACACACAAAAATAACTAAGTAAGTAAATAAATAAATGTTAATTAAATTTTTTAAAAATAATAATTTAAGCAATTCTATAGGATCTGGAAAGATTCCTCAGTGGTTAAGAGCATGGCTGCTCTTGCAGAGGACCCGGGTTCAGTTCCAGCAGACACCTGTATGTAATTCCAGTTCCAGGGGAGTCAGTGCAGTCTTCCAACTACAAGGACACTGCATGCATGTGGTACACATATACACATACAGGAAAAACACTCCTGTTTATTTACTGGTTTATTTGTTTTTCGAGACAGGGTTTCTCTGTGTAACAGTCCTGGCTGTCCTGGAACTTGCTTTGTAGCCCAGGCTGGCCTTACTGAGATCTGCCCACCTCTGCCACCCAAGTGCTGGGATTAAAGGTGTGCACACAGTTATTTCACATGTTTTAACAAGTCCCAGGCCACCCTTGTAGTACAAAACTTCTGTCCTGTAAAGCATTTTAAAACTCTGGTTGACATTTAGAATAATTAGTAAAAGCCAAGCGTGAAGGGTAGCACAAGATAGTATTCCTATCTGTACCAAAGAACTTCAGGGGTGAGGATGCGGCTTGATGTTCATGCATGAGCACCTGAGCTCAAATCCTCCAGAACCCAAGTAAAACAGCAAAACACAGCAGCACATACCTGCAGTCACAACACTGGGGAGATGGTACAGGAGGGACTCCGGGGATCACTGGCCAGACAGTCTAGGGGAATCAGTAAGATCCAGGTTCAGTGAGAGACCCTGTCTCAAAAATAAGGTGGAGAGTGTGACTGAGGTGGACTCTGGACATTGACATCTGACCTCCACAGATAAATGGACACATGGGGTTGTGGGGGCAGGGAGGGAGAAAAACAAATTTTAATTCCTTGACTAAAACACAGTCGAGTTGACGAGTGTATGTCTTCAAATACAGATGGGAAACTAAAAAATGTAACCAGGAGACATCACTACAGACACCACAGCAGCTCAGTGTGCTGATAATCAGGGAAGTTAGACCTCTCTAGGCTAAGGTATGAAACGTGTTAGAACTCATGATACTGACTAGTGAGTGTGAGGCCAGCCTGGGTTGTCCAGCAAGGCTCTGTCTCAAGACAAAAACACGCCTCCTCCCAATCTTCAGGCTACAGAAATGTTTAAGAAATATTACCAAGAGCTGGAAGCAGTGGCTGAGGGGAAGCGCCTCTCTCAACCACAGTGCCCTGAGGAGAACCAATCTCTACCTCTCAGAGCTCTGGGCTGCTTCAGTGCAGGCTAGCCCAAGGTCACCCACAGGTCAGTGCCCAGGACAGAAAGCCCAGACTCTTTCTTGGCTTTGTGCTTCTGCAAGCTCTCCAGCATGTGCAGTGATGTGAGTTCTCCCTGCTGAAGCTCCATGCAGGGGTGTTGTTAAACTAGTCACCTCTAACAGGAGGAGGCTAGGTCATCATCAGGAGGGGTTGCTGAAGCTTCTCTCGTGTCAATAGTGACATTTCTAGAGTCCTTGTCCAGTTGCTACACACCCTTCCCCCTCCCCATGCTATTCTATCCTCCCTGAAGCCCTCAGCCATCTGTGCCCCTGGTCAGGACTCTGCCACCAGGCTGCTGTGTGGCTCTGGCCTGGAGCTTTGCTCCATCTGGGTGTTCAGACAGGCAGGGTGGTGGCTAATTTATTGCCAAGTCCCTGGGGCTGCCAGGGCAATGCTGGCAGGAGATCCCGAAAGAAGGGCATCCTGAATTGGGGAGGAAGAGAGAGGGCGAAGGTCCCAGGAGAGAGCCAAGGGTATGATGCCCAGAGGGGACAAGCAGGGAGGGGTCTCGTGTGTTCCATCCTTTCTACACACTTGCAACAGACACGGAGACAGACGAACCTTGACTGGAGTACCTGTAATTCTGGACCACCTACCTCCCCATCCTAACCCTGTGACATCCTTTCCTACACTAGTGTGGACAGCGGAGACACCTCAGCCCTCCCACACTTCACACAGAGACTTGGCCTGTGGCCTCCCCACCCTCAGTCTCCCCAAGCCTGCCCCGGTACTTTTCCACGTCACCTAACTCTAGATGCTGAGGCTCTGAGCTGGGGAGCCACTGGCCCAGGCCCCAGATGCGTACTCAGGATCAGGTTTGCTTCCTGGCAGGGTGCAGGACATCAAGGCCAGGCCTCATCAGCCCACCTTCTCTCCAGTGGTCCTCAAATCCAAAATTATCCACACTGGAGAGCAGCTCACTGGGGATCTCACTGGTGTGGAATGATGCTCAGGCTGGGACCCTGAGCCCACACCTTGCAGAAAAAAAAAAAAAAAAAAAAAAAAAAAAAACTACTACAAAAGCCAGCAAAGGAACTTGGCCCTTGGAGCCCACAGCTCAGGACACACATAGCCTGGGGCAGCTGGCCAGGAACCAGTAATGGCCGAGAGGCCAGTCCTTACACCATCCCCAGGGCTAAGTAGCTACGCAGAGCCCACAGCCATGGCCTCCGCAGCAGTGATGGCTCCATTTTCCTCTGCCCTCTGCTTTAGCCAACCAACATGTGGGTCCTTTTCCCTTTACAAGCTCAAACTCTTTTTTTAATTAAGAAATTTTCTATTCATTTTACATACCAACCACAGATCCCCCTCTCCTCCCTCCTCCTGCCCCCCAGCCTTCCCCCTCAACCCACCCTCCATCCCACCTCCTCCAAGGCAATACCTCCCTCCCATGGGGAGTCAGCAGAACCTAGTGCATTCGGTTGAGGCAGGTCCAAGGCCCCTCCCCCTGCACCAAGGCTAAGCAAGGTGTCCTTCCATAGGCACTGGGCTCCAAAAAGCCCACTCAAGCACCAGGGATGGATCCTGATCCTACTGCCTGGGGGCCCCTCCCAAACAGTTCAAACTAAACAACTGTCTCACGTATCCAGAGGGCCTAGTCCAGTCCCATGGGGGCTCCACAGCTGTTGGTTTACAGTTCCCATTAGTTTGGCCTGGTTGTCTCTGTACATTTCCCCATCATGATCTCAATGTCCCTTGATCATAGAATCCCTCCTCTCTCTCATCGACTGGACCCTGGATGAGCTCAAACTCTTTATTCCTTAGCACAGCCTGGACTCTTTGTTCTGAAGTCTGCATAGTCAGCCCTGCTGCACCATTGGCAGGAAGGAGCCTGTGCCCCCTTCCCGTTGCAGCCACTGAGTGGGAATTAAAGCAAGGCTCTTCCAGCATCCCACACTGCTCTCAGCCTCACCTGACTGTTGTGGACAGCGGGAACCCGCCTCCCAGAGGAGGGAGTCTGAACAGACCCAAGAAGGAAGCTGGACCATACTACCTCTGAGAGGTCTAGGAGGTTCTGAGGAGCCCTGAATCCTGTCCCCATCAGGTACCACATGGCTATCAGGCCCAGGAGCCACTGGAGATGCTAACTGGCAGAGGTCCTAAGGAATGACTCTGTTTCAAGGTGAAGCTATACACACAGGTCCTTAACAGGGACCCTTTCATTTATCAACTGGTTGGGCCACTAGTGCCCAGGTGTTTGTTCAAACACTAGTCTCTTCTCTGAAGATATTTGTGGGTGATGTTGACATCTAAGTCAGGTGGCTTTGTGTAAAGCACATTAACCCTCTTCAATGTAGACAGGTGCCATCTAATCAGTAAAGACCCTAAGACTGGCCCAGCCCTCCAGTATAGGCTGGTTCCTCAGGCGTAGGCTCCATTCTGAAGTTAAGCTGGGACTATTTTGAGTCACCTCATTAACATAAACTCAGCTGTAGCTGAAAGAGCTCAAAACATATAGCAAATGATGCTCATTTTATGCATACATATATATATATGTATATATATGTGTGTATGTGTGTGTGTGTGTGTGTGTGTGTGTGTGTGTGTGTGTGTGTGTGTGTGTGTATATATATATATATATATATCCATATCCAGGTCCTAGCACAAGCTAGGCAATTGCTCTTCCACTGAGTCACACTACTCCCAGTCTCCATACTCCATATATACATCTGGCATGTGGTGTGTGTGTGTGTGTGTGTGTGTGTGTGTGTGTGTGTGTGTGTGTGTGTGTGTGTGTGTGTTCAGTGGCACATACATGCAAATACAGAGGTCAGAGGAAGACATCAGGTATCCTGTCAGTCTCTGCTTTATTCCCTAGAGACGTGGTCTCTCAGTGAACCCAAAGCTAGGTTGGCAGACAGCAAGCCCCAGAGATCCTCCTGTCTCTGCCTGCCTCCCCAGGGCTAGGGTTACAGGCACACGGCCACACCCAGCTTTTGTTTGTTTGTTTGTTTGTTTGTTTTTGTTGTTTTCAAGACAGGGTTTCTCTGTGTAGTTTTGGAGCCTGTCCTGGAACTCGCTCTGTAGACCAGGCTGGCCTCGAACTCACAGAGATCTGCCTGGCTCTGCCTCCCGAGTGCTGGGATCAAAGGCGTGAGCCACCACCACCCAGCTTCACACCCGGGTTTTTACAAGGGGGCTAGAGATCTGAACTCAGAGCCTCATGCTTGCGCTGCAATCACACCTACTCACTGAGCCCACTCCCACCAATGTACATTTTAAAACTTCTGTCCCAGTTCTGGCTGCAGGCACGGTCTGGCCTCTATCCACCCTCCTCACTCTGGAGGGGAATTCTCCATGTCCCACAGAAGTGTCAGCCCTCTTGGCACCGGTACCCACATCACAGCAGTCCTGCTAGGGGTGAGCAGAGATTCCTAACTCTGGCTTTCTGGGTCTTCCTAGGTGGAGTGAAGTTTCACAGGAGCCCAAGAGCCCCCTCATGCCCCATGCAGGGCCAGCATAGTCAAAGCCCCTCCTAAATGCCAGAGTGACAAGTCCCACTGCAAACAGATCTGTCCTGCTCAGTGCTTCTGGGCCTCAGCCCTGCCCCCCAGCCTGCCTGGCTCTGCCTGTGTCCACACACACACACACACACACACACACACACACACACACACACACCTGCCTGTGTCCACTGCCTCCACTTGCTCCCTTTGCAGCTCAGTGCACTCCAGGAGTCTCCCCGATGTGGGGACTTATTCCTGGGGGAGCCATCAGCATCTGTGAGGCTGGGAGAGCTTCAGTCTTCGTTGGCGCCCAAGACCAGAACAGGCGCTCCAGCAGCAGGCATGCTATGCAAAACAGATTCCAAACCACCCAAGGGGTCTATTTATGATTCACAGCAAAGTGGTGTGCTGCTGTCAAAATGTGTTTGCATATTACACAAACAGACCCTCATAGCAATTATCTTAATGCTGTTGCTACAAATGAACACCTACTTACTTCGGGCAAATTAACTCTGGATTTACCTTAAACAGCACAGCCCGTGGAGGGTGGGGCACACGGATAAAGAGCTCAGTGGATGGGCACACCTCCAGGCTCTCTCAGAACTCAGGAGAGGGGTCCCATACCACCATTCCTAACCCTCTAAGGCTCAGAAAGAAAGGCATGCACTGGTCATATCTGCCTCAGACACCACAGCAGGATCCATCTTTTTGTCTCAGCCAAGCTTGTGGCCACAGCCCCCTCCCCCAATGCCCACACCTTACCAACAAGGCCACGAGGTCCCCGGTGCTGGCAAGAGGCACACACAGACTACTTACTTGTCCAGAGGGAGAAATAGGGAGACACCAGAATCTGGGCACAAGATCCAGGTGAGACACCAGGGATTGGGGGCGGGGGGTGGGGAGGTGGGTAACAGTGGTGAAGTCCTTGTGGCTGGCTGTCTGGAGACTGGAGTTCAAGGTCCCTCCTTGTCTAACCCCACTCTCACAGTCTGGAACCCCTGCTATCCCC